GTTTTCTGCAGCCCACTGAAAGATTTGGTTGATGTCCGCCTGGAGCCTTGCAGTGTCTGCAATGGAAGACACTGTCATGCAGATTCGGGTGTCATCTGCAAAGGAAGACACGGTGCTGTGGCTGACATCCTTGTCTATGTCAGATATGAGGATGAGGAACAAGATGGGAGCGAGTACTGTGCCTTGTGGAACAGAGCTTTTCACCGTAGCTGCCTCGGACTTTACTCTGTTGACTACTACTCTCTGTGTTCTGTTAGTGAGGAAATTATAGATCCATGGACCGACTTTTCCCGTTATTCCGTTAGCACGCATTTTGTGCGCTATTACGCCATGGTCACACTTGTCGAAGGCTTTTGCAAAGTCTGTATATATTACATCTGCATTCTTTTTGTCTTCTAGTGCATCTAGGATCTTGTCGTAGTGATCCAATAGTTGAGACAGACAGGAGCGACCTGTTCTAAACCCATGTTGCCCTGGGTTGTGTAATTGATGGGTTTCTAGATGGGTGGTGATCTTGCTTCTTAGGACCCTTTCAAAGATTTTTATGATATGGGATGTTAGTGCTATCGGTCTGTAGTTCTTTGCTGTTGCTTTACTGCCCCCTTTGTGGAGTGGGGCTATGTCTGTTGTTTTTAGTAACTGTGGGACGACCCCCGTGTCCATGCTCCCTCTCCATAGGATGGTAAAAGCTCGTGATAGGGGCTCTTGCAGTTCTTGATGAACACGAAGTTCCATGAGTCTGGCCCTGGGGCAGAGATTATCAACCCCAGGTCCTGACAGGTTCTTCAACACGAGGATGTTGAAGAATCCGGTGGTGTGAATCATTATATCATCAGCAAAACTAATCAAACAATGATGGGGCTGGTTATGCATAACTTTAAGTAAAGCATTAATTAGAATATTGAATAGAGTGGGACTGAGCACACCTCGCTGTGGGGTTCTTAATTCAAAATCTTTAGTTACACTTCTATGTCCCTGGAACAACACAGACAACTTTCTATTGGACAGATAGCCTTTAATCCAGTGGAGAAGCCATCCTCCAACATCCATTCTGGCAAGTTCACTAACGATTACATGTTGGTTTGCTACATCAAAAGCAGATTTAAGGTCAAGGAAGGTAGTGTATGAGCTGTCAGTGTGCAGAGAAAGGTGGTTATGCAATGATGCACGCTCCTTCCATGCATGAAACCATGCAACCGGGAGACAAAAATTGCTTAATTCTGTGCATGAGACGATTAAGAGTCATCCTCTCGAATGTTTTACACAAGCAGCTAGTAAGAGATATTGGGCGAAATGTATTTTGTTGATTGAGCTTAGGAATTGGAATGATGAGGCTGTTGGGCCAAGATTTCTAGTGCTTCCCAGTTACATAGCTCATGTTATATAATTCAAGTAAAGGGTTACCTGGTACCCAGTTACATAGCTCATGTTATGTAATTCAAGTAAAGGATTACCTGGTACTCAACATAAAAATCTGAGTATGTTGTAAGCAATACCATCCTCCCCAGACGACGTGGAGCGGCTCTCTGTTAGTACTGCATCAAGTTCAAGGTTAGTGAAAGGAATGTTAGTTATCTTCTTTGCTGAGCATAAAATAATTTCAGTACGATTTGTAAGTTAGCCCCGCCTTACCGGTATATTTGTCACATCTTTTATGTTTTTCAGTGGGATGCCAAATTTATCAAAAACTAAAGCCAAGATATGAGTGAGATACTAAAGTCCCAGTATGACTCAGTGTTCGGCGAACCGCTGCCCAGACTAAGGGTCGACAACCCAAATGAATACTTTATGAACGAAGCCCAAAATTTGGTCATCCCAAAAATCTCGGATATTATCCTAACTCCACAAGACTTTGAAGAGGCAATAAATGACATGCCCATGCACTTTGCCCTAGGCCCATACTCATGGAACTCCGTGTTCAACAAGAATTGCAAGAAGCCCCTATCGCGTGCCTTCAGCATTCTATGGAGAGGGAGCATGGACACAGGGATCATCCCACACGCTAAAATCAACAGACATAGCCCCACTCCATAAAGGTGGCAGTAAAGCAATTGCAAAGAACTACAGACTGATAGCGTTAACATCCCATATCATAAAAATCTTTGAGAGGGTTCTAAGAGGCAAGATCGTCAACCACCTAGATACCCATCAATTACACAACCCAGGGCAACATGGATTTAGAGCAGGTCGCTCCTGCCTGTCCCAGCTACTGGAACACTATGACAAGATCCTGGATGCTGTAGAGGATAAACAAAATACAGATGTAGTATATACAGACTTTGCAAAAGCTTTCGACAAGTGTGACCATGGTGTAACAGCACACAAAATGCGTGATAAAAGAATAACAGGAAAAGTTGGTAAATGGATCTATAACTTCCTGGCAAATAGAATACAAAGAGTAATAGTAGACAGAGTAAAGTCCAAGGCAGCCCCGGTAACAAGCTCTGTTCCACAAGGCACAGTACTCGCTCCCATTCTATTCCTCATCCTCATTTCTGACATAGACAGAGATGTAAGTCATAGCTCCGTGTCTTCCTTAGCGGATGACACCCGGATTACCATGGCAGTGACCTCCATCGAAGACACCGCGAGACTCCAAGCGGACATCAACCAAATCTTCGAATGGGCTACTCAAAACAATATGAAGTTCAGCGAGGAGAAATTTCAACTACTCAGATATGGGAAACTTAGGGAAATTAAAAATGTATCAGGGTATACGACAAATTCTAACCATACAATAGAGCGATTCTCTTCAAATCACTTGTGCTCTCTAGGGTGGAATACTGCTGTACACTAACGGCCCCCTTCAAGGCTGGCGACATTGCAGACCCGGAGAGTGTACAAAGAACTTTCACGGCACATATAAGCACGATAAGGCACCTAAATTACTGGGAACGGTTGAAAGTCCTTGATCTGTATTCCCTGGAACGCAGGCGAGAGAGATACATTATAATATACTCGTGGAAGGTCCTAACCCAAGGAAAATAAAATAATTATATACACTTGGAAGGTCCTGGAGGGATTGGTACCAAACCTGCACACGAAAATCACTCCCTATGAAAGCAAAAGACTCGGCAGGAGATGCAGCATTCCCCCAATGAAAAGAAGGGGCGCAACGAGTACATTGAGAGACAACACAATAAGTGTCAGGGGCCCAAGACTGTTCAACTTCCTCCCAGCATACATAAGGGGGATTACCAATAGACCCCTGGCTGTCTTTAAGAAGGCATTGGACAGGCACCTAAAGTCAGTACCTGAACAACCGGGTTGTAGGTTGTAGGTCGTACGTCAGCTTGCGTGCGACCAGTAGTAACAGCCTGGTTGATCAGACCCTGATCCACCGTGATTCCTGGCCTCAGACCGAGCCGCGGGGGCGTTAACCCCCGAAACCCTCTCCAGGTAAACTCCAGGTAGGTAAATCAAACAAAACTGATGACATTCGGAATCAGCACCACAATCTTAACCCTAAAATCGGTGTAATATCATTGGCCAGAAAATGAGTGTTAACCAGTGACTGGTTTATTTCTTTGATTTTTATTCTAATTTTCTTTATTAAAAGGATTTTAGTATATGTTCGACACTCATGCTGTAACTTTGTAGCTAACTTATGCTCCATATAGTAGGCTTATTGGCGCATGATAGACAGTTCTAACTCACCTCTTCCCCGTGTACCCGTCCAACCTATAATATAATTAAAGCTACCCAAAAAATTTTGTCTCAGTGACGCTGTCTGGGGTTCCGCTCACCTACAATTGCCAAACCAGTGCTTCCCTATATTCTTTATAAACGCAGATTTGTTCAACTTGAATTTATTACTGGGAGTCATGTCTTGAATATTTTCAACATTTTTTTTATATCCTCCTTTATTCTATTTTTGTTTTTCCATCTGTACACTTCAGTCATATCTCCACTAATTCTAATTCTACGCCTTTCTAGAGAGTACAAGTTTAGTGCCATAAGATTATCTTCGTGCTAAAGATTAACATCGTCGCCCTTCTCTACATTTTTTCCAATATATTTATGTCCATTCTGTAATATGGAGACAATAAATGAGCAAGATAATCTAAATGAAGCCAAAGCAAAGATAAAACTGAAGTATAGTATATTATAATCACTGGGAAGCGCTAAACCCGTAGGATTATACAGCGCATGTGGGAGGTGTGGAAGGTATTTAGAGTTAATTCAGGGAACGGGAGCACAGATTCAATTCCCTAGGTCAAGAGCCCCTCGCCAGCGTCAAGGAACCTCCCTTGAGGGGAAGTGTAGTATAACCTTATATCTATATTTGTACTTCTTGATATGAAATAAAACATTATATCGGCATTATTGTGATCACTTAAGCATTGCTGGTTGGAAATTTCTGCTGACCACAACTCCTAAATCTTTTTCGCAGTCACTATGACTAAGATGTACATTATTTACTTCATAAGTCCCATACCTGGAGAGAGTTCCGGGGGTCAACGCTCCCGCGGCCCGGTCTGTGACCAGGCCTTATGGTGGACCAGGGCCTGATCAACCAGGCTGTTACTGCTAGCCGCACGCAGTGCAACGTACTACCCACAGCCCGGCTGGTCAAGTACTGACTTTAGGTGCCTGCTTGAAGACAGCCAGGGGTCTATTGGTAATCCCCCTTATGTATGCTGGGAGACAGTTGAATAATCTTGGGCCCCTCACACTTATTGTGTTGTCTCTGATCGTGCTAGTGGCGCCTCTGCTTTTCATTGGGGGAATGTTGAATCGTCTGCCGAGTCTTTTGCTTTCATAGGGAGTGATTTTCGTGTGCAAGTTTGGTACTAATTCCTCTAGGATTTTCCAAGCGTATATAATTTTATTTTCCTAGGATTAGAACCTAACACTTGTCTGCTTATCCAGGACATCCTGTAGCTTTCTTGTGTCCTCATCAGAAATTATTTGACAAGGGTACAGGTGGAAGTTAACAACATAAGTGAGATATAGGGTCGTTGGGAAGTATGGATGGTCAGGAAGAGCAACGGACGACTTAGGTGAAGACGTGAAGACAGGACCTTTGAGGTTAGAGCGAATCTGGCAAGCGGCAAGCTGAAGCGAGGCCAGGAGCTAAGACTCGACCTCTGCAACCACATATAGGTTAAATCAGCATACACACCCGGGATGATCTGAGCTCATCAGTCAGGAGGGTTAGCTCTGACGGGTCTCCCCTCAAGGAAGGTTCCTTGACGCTGGTGAGGGGCTCTTGATTTAGGGAATTGGATCTGTTCTCCAGTTCCCTAAAATAAACCTGAATACCTTCCACATATACCCCTCAGGAGCTGTATAGTCCTACGAGTTTAGCGCTTCCCCCTTGATTATTATAAGCTGTATAGTCCTACGAGTTTAGCGCTTCCCCCTTGATTATTATAATAATCTGACAGGTCTGGACAGTAATTGAACTTGTGAAGGAATAACCTCTCCATTTGTTTCGGGTCCCATAATAATGAACATGTTTTGTGCCCCTTCAAAGGTATATTCATAAAGAACATAGGTGTGAATGTGGAGGATCCTGTGTAGTGAAGGTAAAACAGGAGCCGCGTGTATGTGTATGTAGGAAGCTGTACATTCTGAGCTCACTCAGTGTGGTGTTGGATGTGCGAAGGGACGGGTACGCGGCGCAATGGCTGAACAGGGAGCACGTAACGACAGCGGCCTCCAGATATCTGAAGCTGCTTTGTCTAAACCCGTAGCCAACGGGGAAAAGGTGAGTGGTTGCTGCATGGCGGGGAAGCAAGTTGAGTTTAATATGGTTTAATGGACAAATTCCAGTTAAAGGTTAGGGCGACGGGGAAGAGGTGCCGACTCTTGGCCAAGCTGGGAAGCCAGAGGACATGTCTGGTAGCTTTTATTGCTCTTACAGTCATCTTTTGACGTTTTCCTGAATTATGTTGCTGCCATTAGCCTTCAGGCTACTTCTAACAGGCATTAATGCCACTAGTTTGTTATATTTATCGAAATAAGTGGAGAATGCTTCCCAGTTTGTTTGTTTATATCCACCAGCTGACTACGTTACCTGATCAGCTGATCATGGCATCCTAGAATATCTCTTTGTTAATTAATTACCTTCATGCGCTATATGCCAATATACTGACGTACAGATACGATGAATGTCTTATTAAGAACTAATTCATTGCGTAATAATTACTTGTAGGTACCAGCCAGAGGTCTTGCGTCAATGTTAAGTGGGTCAACTTTCGGACGACGTGGTTTTTTTTTTTTTTTTAATAAATATGAAAATTAAAATTGTTTTCAAATACAATAAAATAAGATGCATTCAGTATGGTTTGTTTGTTATAGCTATAATGTAATGGTAAGCGATGTTCCTCTGTGTAAAAGCAAGCATAAGTTTTGTATGCTGCGGTGTAAAAAATCGGCTCACATCTAAAGGCATTACAAAATTATATGTTTGATAATTGAAATATTTGAAATAATTAAATCAGCCTGATAAATCAGAATGAGTTTCTTTTTTTGTTGGATTTATGATTGTACAGTATTTTCCTAATGTTACAGTTCTGGAGAATGTTGGAAACAAGTGCTACAAGGAAAATAACCCTGTTTTTTGTAACAGTTGTTTTTTACTACTAAATTAACTATCACTGCTTGGAAGAATATGAATTTACAGCTGTATTTTTCTGTTTTGAGATGTCATGGATGCTTCAACTTGACCACTTGTCATCTTTGGGATTAATTCTTTCCAAGTGGGAGGCTTTGATGCCTTTGAAGATGTCTTAATCCAAGGAATTGGAGTTACTCTTGATAAAATCTGATGTCATCCTTTTCCCCAGGCACTATATGACCCCCATGTGTGTAGCTGTACCCTGTGAATACAATAATTTGGGGGTTCTTGCTCATATTTTAGGATGCACTTTGGTAAGTTTGCTTCTAGGACCGAGCAAATTAATTTGTTGGTTATCCTCTCAATCCTAGACAAGTCTGTAAATGTTTAGCTATTTAAGTAATAAAATTTTTTCATTACCATATGGTATACAGTGGAGCATCGAAATGCATGTACTGTATAGTATATAGGAATACTCATTATTGATAATGCTTTCGATGTAATGCCTCATAGTTATCAAAATTAGAAAAACTTGAAGCAAACTACATATGTCATTATTATGATTTAAATATCAAATAGACTTAGCCGGTACAGAACAAAAAGGTACAACACCTTGACTGGAACAATACACAACTAACCCAATGTTCGGGTTATTTGTGTAAACTTAGCCAGTCTTTGTCATGTCTTAAAAAATTTGTATTGTATATTGTGGATAGCCTCTTCCTTGGCATTCCAAAAAGGTTGTCTATACCTGGCATGCAAGATTGTTCTTCATCAAAGGGTATCCCAGCATTAGTTGAAAGTTCAGCTTGCATCCTTCCAGCAGTTCTGTATTTTTTACACATGGGCAGGATAGGTTGATGCTACCTCTTCACAGGAAGGCAGAATATTTGAGTGGCAGATGCAGTTCAGTACAGATAAATACAGTGGACCCCCGCATAACGATCACCTTCGAATGCGACCAATTATGTAAGTGTATTTATGTAAGTGCGTTTGTACGTGTATGTTTGGGGGTCTGAAATGGACTGATCTACTTCACAATATTCCTTATGGGAACAAATTCGGTCAGTACTGGCACCTGAACATACTTCTGGAGTGAAAAAATATCGTTAACCGGGGGTCCACTGTACAAGGATTTACTTCTAGGAAAAGAAATTAACTGGCATATACAAGGTAAATAATTTAGATCTTATTCAAACTGAACATGAAAAAGTTTAAGGAGTTCTGGTTAGCAGAAATGTAAAACTAAGAAAACGGTGCATAAGTATTTGCGATGCAACTAATAGAATTCTTGGCTTCATATTGAGAAGTATAATAGAAGTCATGAGGTGATAATTTAACTCTATATTTCTTTGGTAAAGCTTCATTTAAATTATGCTGCTAATTTCTGGCCTCCATATTACAAAATGGACATAAATGAGCTGGAAAGTTTTTAGAGAAGGATGGTAAAGTTAATCAAGTGTATTGGAAATCTTTCCTATGAAAATAGCCTTAAGGCACTGAATTTGTAGTGTGTGGAATGACTTAAAATTAGGGGATATGATTGAATTGAACAAATATAAATACGTAAATAGTTTTTTAACACGCCTACCGTCACCCACCAATATGGGGTGACTCAAAAACGAGCAAAAACATTAATCATTTAGTCAGTTATGCCACAAGTATGCTGACATCACAGTTCAGATGGTCCTTTGAACTGCAACAGTCTTATCCGTCTTTTAGAATGCAGGCACACATTTGATATACCTTTGAAGAGTTTCGAGAGTTTCACTACTCGCCAGGCTCATGTGGTGCTTGCCTGGTCAACCAGGCTGTTGCTACAGGAGGCTCGCTGCCCCACATATCCATCACAGCCTGGTTGATCTGGCACCTGGTGAAGATGCTTGTCCAGTTTCCTCTTGAAGGCTTCTACACTTGTTACAGCCATGTTTCTGATACCTTTTGGTAAGATGTTGAATAGTCTAGGACCCTGGATGTTGATACAGTGTTCCCTTATTGTCCGCACTGGACCCCTGCTCCTTACTGGGTTTATTTGACACTTCCTCCCATATCTCTCACTCCATTGCACTTCTCACCTCCAGGATTCAAGTCCACCTACAAGTTTCCCTGAATCCTTTCATAAATGTTACTATGCTCACACTTCAACAGCATGGCAGGTCACAAAAACCATGTGCATGCACTTTGATCTAATACACTAACACAAGCCTGTTCAGTGTTCATTCGTCTAGCACTCAAAGAATCCTTTACCCCCTCCTTCCAACCCATCTTGGAATACCCCCTATGTCTACATGCTTAAAATAAAATATCTAACCTTAATAGAATTTGCAGGTGTGGATTAAAGTTTGACAAGTTTTGATTATAAATAGTTGAAGATGACTGGAACAAACTCCCAAGTAGCATCATTGAAGCAAGAACTTTGGGTAGCTTAAATATAGGTTAGATGGGCGCATAAATAGGTGTGTATTTGACCTGCCTAGAATTGGCAAAAAAGCCAACTGAAGTGTTCCACTTCTTGTGTATTTATTCATGTGCTGTAATGGATAGGGTGCTTGGCTCAGCTGAGAGAACCCTGGGCTGAATCCCACACAAGGCTGAATGTATGGGCAAGCCTACTAACACCTGTGTATTACCTAATGTAGATATGTACCTACAAGTTAATTGACTGTTGTAGATGTGGTAGCATCCTTGGGGAAGACCTAAATAGGACCCTGATGAAAACAAGCCACACTGTTTGGCTTTCTTGGGTTATCCTAGGATAATTCCATTACAAGGTTTTATTCAACCACAGCTCACATTCAGCATGTTATGTGGACACTTATTTCATGCAACCACACTATGAACAATAATGTCTTTTCAGGTTTGTAGAATAGCTGCACAGAATAATTTTTCTGGCATAAGTCAAGTTTTGCTGCAGCTGGTTCTTGTATGCAACTTCATCACACACGTCTTTCATGAGATGAGTGTAGCACAGTAGGCTAATAACAAGAAGGTTACATTCCCAAAACCTGGCATGTTACACAAAATCATGTTAAGTCTGTCCATTCATAATCATTGCTCTGTCCTTCGTTTCCACTGACCTAATTCTCATTACCCTAAATTCAACTTGCTGCACTTAATGAGTTTTCCAAGACAAGTGTTTTCAATGCTGGGCCAGACTAGAAAACATATGCAAACACACACACACATAGCCTACGTTTCCATTTCATCAGCTGATTCTCTTGCACTGTTTTTTTTTTTTTTTGCATTATATTAACTTCTAATCCTTCGTCATTTTGCTAAGTTAAATTCAGCTTCTGGCATTCTCTTGTCTTTCTCCCACTTCATCATTTAATTTTTGAGTGACTTCACTGTCGCATCATTTTATGAACTGTAAAGAAAAAATAAGGTTGTATTCTTGACAATTACAACTACAGTAATTTGCATTACTGTAATTGTAGTTGGATGTAATGAAGTGTGTATACTAAACAGAAAATGTCACTAAGAAGGTTTTAAGTAAAGCAGGTTTTATTACCTTGAATTCTGGTTGATGTTGCATTTTGATCTTGAATGGAATGAAGAAGGTTGGAGTTGCACTACTGGGTTGAGTTGGATAGCTGTGGTTCTTGGGCTGTTGTCAATTTGCACATAATTATACTGGAGTTTCCAGGGATTCTGTAATACATCTCTTACCTGTTTTACCTTGCAGCACTTGATACATGTGACACTTAGGCATGATCACTTGGCCCAGTGGCCTGGTGGCTAAAGCTTCATACACAGAGGGCCCGGGTTCGATTCCCGGCGGGTGGAAACATTTCAATGCGTTTCCTTACACCTGTTGTCCTGTTAACCTAGCAGCAAATAGGTACCTGGGTGTTAGTCGACTGTGTGGGTCGCATCCTGGGGGACAAGATTGAGGACCCCAATGGAAGTAAGTTAGACGATCCTCGATGACGCACTGACTTTCTTGGGTTATCCTGGGTGGCTAACCCTCCGGGGTTAAAAATCCAAACAAAATCTTATCTCGACAACCTACTTCACAGCAATACCTATAGATGTGTCAAGGTTCTCATCAGTGAAAGTCTACAATTGTATCAGTGTGGAACTGCTCACATAACTATTGCAATGTTTACTGTGTATCTCAAAGTTCGTTTACTCCACCTCTTATGTTATCTGCTTCTTTTCTATTTGTGACTTGATCTCCTCCAACATCTGCAGCATCTTTGTCATTTTTTAGAGTTCATATACATTTTCTTCTTGTATATCTTTCAAAGATATTTTTCTTGCCAGATCTGCATTTTTTGCATGTGACTTGAGAGAGAACCTGTGAAATTATTCACCACACCAGATCATAATTTTCTCCACCCTGCATTCATTGTTAACTGGAGCACTTGATCCCATTCAACTTTTATGGTGGTTATTGCATCAGCAATGTTAAATTTATGCCAAAAGTCTACACTACAGTGTTCAGCGAGCCACTGCCCACACTAAGGGGCGACAATTCAAATGAATTCTTTGTGAACGAAACCCTAAAGTTAGTGGTTCATACGTCAGCTTGTGTGCGGCCTGTAGTAACAGCCTAGTTGATCAGATCCTGATCCACCATTAGGCCTGGTCTCAGACTGAGCCATGGGGGCATTGACCTCCAAAACCTTCTCCAGGTAAACTCCAGGTAATACAGTGTCATTGATGTCGTCCAGTGATGCTCTGATTTTCTGTACCATCTTTCATGTGTAGGTGCATTTAACCCTTTCACCCACTTGCATAGATGTACATTTTGAGCACATTTCTGTCAAATACGTTACAAGCGGTAATTATTATTATTTTTTTTTTAATTTTTTTTTTTTAAATTACAGAAAGCCGCTGGTTATGCAGAGCATTTCGGGCATAATGAGAAAACAAACCTCTTCGTTGGTTTAACATTGCAAATTTGAGGCATGTTCTAGGTGGTTTTATGGTCTTACTGGCTATTTCCTGGTATTGAGAGAATAGAACACACACTAATGAAATAGAGATGATTTTGATTGGTTTCAGCCATGAAGTAGCTATTTTCCTGAGGAAGAGTAGGGTTCCTCTAGCCTCCTCCCCCCCACTCTGTTTTGTGGGTTTTTACTAGGTCTGTTTCAATTACTGGAATGGCCTAAACTATAACCAGTCATGCTTACCTGGAGTATACCTAGAGAGGGTTTCAGGGGGTCAGTGCCCCCGTGGCCCGGTATGAGACCAGGCCTCATGGTGGATCAGGGTCTGATCAACCAGGCTGTTACTGCTGGCTGCACGTAAACCAACGTACAAACCACAGCCTGTCTGATCAGGTACTGGCTTTAGATGCCTGTCCAGTGCCTTCTTGAAGACAGCCAGTGGTCTTTTGGTAATCCCCCTAACGTATGCTGGGAGGCAGTTGAACAGTCTTGGGCCCCTGACACATTTTGTCTCTTAGCAAACTCGTGGCGCCCCTGCTTTTCATTGGGGGAATGTTGCATCTTGTGCAGAGTCTTGTTTTCGTAGGGAGTGATTTTCGTGTGCAAGTTTGGTACTAATCCCTTTAGGATTTTCCAAGTGTACAATATCGTGCATCATTCTCGCCTGCATTCCAGAGAATACAAATAAAAGGACTTCACTACGGTCAGGAGTTTTGAGACTCTGACCGCGGGTTCAATCCCAGCCGGGGTATGGTTGGTTTAAAAGGACTTCAACTGTTCTTAGTAATTTAGGTACTTGATTGTACTTATGTGTACCTGAAATTTCCCTGTACACTGTCCAGGTCAGCAGTTTCACCTGCCTTGAAGGGGGCAGTTAGTGTACAGCAGTATTGCAGTCTAGAGAGAGCAAGCGATTTGAAGAGAATCATCGTGGGCATGGGGTCCCTGGTTTTGAAGGTTCTCATTATCCATCCTATCATTTTTCTAGCAGATGAGGTAGGTACATTGTTGAGGTCTTTGAAGGTGAGAGCCTCGAACATTATCACTCTCAGGTCCTTTACATTGCCTTTTCACTCTATTGTGTGGTTAGAATTTGTTGTATACCCTGATAGTTTAAATTTCCTCAAGTTTTCCATATCTGAGTAATTGAAATTTCTCTTCATTGAACTTCATATTGTTTTCAGTGGCCCATTTGAAGATTTGATTGATGTCTGCTTGGAGTCTTGCAGTGTTTTCAATGGAGGACACTGTCATAGCAATTTGGGTGTCAGCTGCTTGGTTATACAGTGGTTTATCTGGAGTTTATCTGGAGAGAGTTCCGGGGGTCAACGCCCCCGCGGCCCGGTCTGTGACCAGGCCTCCTTAGGTCAGTGTCCCAGGATGCGACCCACACCAGTCGACTAACACCCAGGTACCCATTTTACTGATGGGGAACATAGACAACAGGTTGAAAGAAACACGTCCAATGTTTCTACTCTGGCTGGGAATCGAACCCAGCCCTCACCGTGTGAAGCGAGAGCGTTAACCACCAGGCCACCAGAGCCCCGAGTTTTGATCATAATTCGTTCCAGAAGGCTGTTCGAGTGCCGTTTCCGAACGAATTTGTTCCCATAAGGAATATTGTAAGTTAGATTAGTCCATTTCAGACCCCCAAAAATACACTTACAAAAGCACTTACAATAATACACTTAAAAAATTGTTTGAATTGGGAAGTGTATGAAACTCGGGGTACTACTGTATTTTATTAATTCATGAGAGAGAGTAAAGTTTTTTTGTGTGTATGCGTGTACTCGCCTGTTTGTCGTTGCAAGGGTCGAGTCATAACTCCTGGCCCCGCCTCTTCTCTGATTGTGTTTTTGTGTGTGCATATGTGTGTA